CTAAAATATGTACTCTGAGAGGACATAGCCACCTTCTGGAACTTGTGATAGCAGCTTTCCCCAGCTCCCACGCTGATAACAGAGCTCACAGGTCTCACGTGCACCATCATGTTTTAGTGACAGTGAGCGTCATCAACTCTTTCTTCAGGGGTAGGAAAAGATTCATAGGATTGTGAGGTAGAGGCTCTGATGGATTATGGTCCATAGGTTGGAGCAGGTGGAGACTAGTGAGAGCTGACCTAATGTGTCACACTCTCGGCTAGAAAGCACTGAAAGGAAAATTGCACGAAGAGGCAGGGTATTAAAGATTCCTCAACAAGAATATCTTCAAGTTACGCTTCACAGGGGCACGAGACGGATCATTTGTGATATTTTAGAGGCAAACGTGTTATTGGACAATACTCGTGCGAAGGGATAAATGATAAGACGTGGGTTGTCTATGTCTCGGTGTGTTTTAACGTGACACAAACTCATAGATGAACACTTGCTGTGTGTTTCTTCAGAGACTTGAGACTGAGTGTCTTGCATTTAAAAAGATATGTGAGAAGCAAGAGCCTCTTGAAGTTCCCCTTCCCCACTGACTTCATGGCAAGCATTTGGAAAATCTGAATGATTCTGAGAGATGGTGGTAGACCGCCTTGCTTTTCACCTTTTCTCATGTCTCTATGAAACAAGATAATAGTGCCACTTATGAGAAAAGAGAAAGCAGTTTTCTTCAGTCATCCTTGGACTGAGTGAATCTTTATTTATTTATTTTTTTGGAATAAGGCTTTACTTCTAAGCTGGTGGCATTTCTAGGGCTTAGATTTTTAATGGAGCACTATTAGTATTTCCCAAAGGATAAGATACCATCTGTAGCTAAACAAGTTGGGATTCTGGCACTGATAGCATCCAGGCTTTAGTATATTAGCAAATATGAACCTGGGATGCCTGGGTAGCTCAGTTGGTTAAGCGTTTGCCTTCAGCTCAGGTCATGATCCCACATTGTGCTCCCTGCTCAGTGAGGAGCCTGCTTCTCCCCCTCCCTCTTCCACTCCTCATGCTTGTGCTCTCTGTCTCTCCCTCTGACAAATAAAATCTTCTTAAAGAAAAGGGAAAGGAAAATTTGAACCTATTGATGACCTCGTTCTTCAATGCAAAGAAAACAAAGGAATTTTTAGTCGAGGATATTTATACTATTGTGATTAAAATTAAGTTCCCAAAAGTCAAGGCTGTATGTCCTGATGTTCAGAAACATGATCCTAGAACAAGAGATCTACTGCCATTCTAGAGTTCAGAGATGGTGAAGAGAATTAAGAAAGGAAATTTCATGAAAATCATAGATGGGGACAGAGTTCTGGATCTTGTGTTGAAGACTCAAAAGAAACATCTCTGTACCTCAGGAGAAATGGAGTTCTGGCAAGCTGAAATTAACCAAACAGCTAAGAACCCTGTCAGACTAAAGTAAAAGTCTCACTTTTAAAACAGTCTATTCTGAGGTCCCTAATGATTGGGCTGCCTCATTATTAAGTGAAATTCCTACCATTAGTATTTAAACACAGACCATATGAGCAAGAATCTGTTGGAAAAAATAGTGCTGAATATGCCAATAATAGCTAACCAATATTAAATATGTCATTATTAAAATGAGAATTAAATGAGGTTATTTTCTGTTTCTCTTCATAGCAGTTGCTTTTTATAAACTACCTTTAAAATGAAAGATTTTTCCATGTAAAAGAGCAGGCCCATTCTAGAAAATTTTATGCACTGATAAAGTAGAAAGAAAAAAATATATATAGTTCTGTTTATTTATTTATTTTGAGAGAGAGAGTGAGCACATGCATGGGTGCAAGGGGAAAAGGGAGAGGGAGAGAGAGACTCTCAAGCAGACTCCACACTGAGCAGAGAGTCTGAAATGGGGCTTGATCTCACGAGCCATGAGATCACGACCTGAGCTGAAACCAAGAGTCAGACACTTAACTGACTGAGACACGCAGGAGCCCCTATAATTCCATCACCCAAGGCAACTCATGCCAACATTTTGTATAATTCCTTCTAAAATTTTTACAGGTCATGATTACATACTCTCTTACTACCCGTTTTATGACTGCTGTTAATATTATTACTACCTTCTTCAGCTGCCATTTACTGAGAGTCACATTCTGTTTGCACAGGTCTTCACGTATAATTCTGTCGAGCTGGTAATTTTTTTCCAGTTTTACTGAGACATCATTAACATGTATCACTGCATGAGTTTAAGGCATGCAGCATGGTGGTCTGATTTACATTTATTGTGAAATAATAAATTATTATTATTCCAATAATAATATTGAAATAAAAGTTTCTATTTAAAAAACAGTAAGTTTTGGGGCGCCTGGGTAGCTCAGTGGATTAAAGCCTCTGCCTTCAGCTCAGGTCTTGATCCCAGGGTCCTGGGATCGAGCCCCGAGTCGGGCTCTCTGCTCCGTGGGGAGCCTGCTTCCTCTTCTCTCTCCCTGCCTCTCTGCCTACTTGTGATCTCTGTCTGTCAAATAAATAAATAAATCTTTTAAAAAACAGTTTTACTAAACAACCATCATCTCCTATAGATATACTAAAAAGCGAAACATTTTCCCCAATAACTCTCTCTCTGTATCATAGAACGGTGTTAACAGCAATCATCTTGCTGTCCTACATGTTCCTGTACTTACTTAGCTTCTAACTGCCAGTCTGTGCATTTTGATAGCCTTCCTCCAATTCCTTCTTCTCCAACCCACCACCTCTGGTAACTACAAATCTCATCTCTGCTCTGTGAGTTTAGTGTGTGTATCTCTTTAAAATTAGATTCCACATGGGTGCCTGAGTGGCTCAGTTGGTTGAGCTACTGCCTTCAGCTCAGGTCATGATCCTGGAGTCCCAGAATCCAGTCCTGCATCGAGCTCCCTGCTCAGCGGGAAGCCTGCTTCTCCCTCTGACCCTCCCTCTTCTCATGCTCTCTTTCTCTCTAGCTCAAATAAATAAGGAAAATCTTTAAAAAAATAAGATTCCGCATTTAAGTGTGATCATACACTATTTGTTTTTCACTCTTGGATTTATTTCACTCAGTGTAATTCCTTCAAATTCATCCAGTTTGTCACCAATGATAGGATTTCCTCTTTTATGGCAGAATTCTATTCCTGTGTGTGTGTGTGTGTGCGCACACACACGTGTATATACCACACGTCCATCCACGAGTGGACACTTAGGTTGTTTTCCCTGTCTCAGCTGTTGTGAATAATGCGGCTGTGAATGTGGGGGTGCAGATATCTTTTCAAGTTAATGTTTTTGTTTCTTTTGGTAATATTCCCAGAAGTGGAGTTTCTGGATCATATGGTAGATCTATTTTTAAAATTTTGAGAAACCTGCCTACTGCTTTCCACGGTGGCTGCACCAATTTCCATTCCCACCAACAGTGCATGAGGGTTCCCTCTTGTCCACACCCTCTCCGACACTTGCTACCGCTTGTCTTTTTGATGATGGTCATCCTAATAGATGTGAAGTAAGATCTCCTGTTTTTTTTTTTTATTCTAAGTTTTCTAGATTTCTCTTTCATCTCTACATTCTCACATAAAACATTCTCTTACTCTAAAAACAATTCTGTATTCTACCTTCTCACTTAAAAATAGTGAAAGAATTTCCCCCACACTGTTAACACTCTTCATAAACAATTTTTAATTGCATCCTAACAGTCCATTCTAAGTATAGTTTTCATAATGGTAAATTTTTAATTGTTTTTTATATACCTTTTTATTATTAAATCCCCAAACCATTACAAAACATAATGTGTGATGGCAATAGTCCAGTTGGACTGAGGTCCAGAAGAAAAGGCACCTGGAAATGGGGAGGGCTAATCCTTTACTCAGTATTCACTACTCAGGTCATTTCTTTGACAACCACTTATGATGCAAATGTGGGTTAGGACCAGTTTGTAGTCAGATACTTGTCAAATTAACACTCTTGATATATAATTCCAGATGTTCTGCTTTCTCTCTGTGTTGTTAAGATCTTGCTTTCATCTTATCCCCAACAGCCCTCTGATTGTGCTCCTCCTGATAAGACATTTCTTGGTTTCCCTTTAATTTTTGTACCCTTAGGAAGTCATTTGGAACTTCTTACCCCTGAGAATCAAATTATCACCATCTTTAAGTTCTGCAAAACTTTCCTGAATTCCAGTTATAGAATTTGTAAATCTCTTTCTCGCTAACTGCCTGTTTCATCCATGTCTAAATCCTGATGTTGAAAAACATCCCATTCAATGGTTTTCTCTGCCCAGTTACCTCACTATGAGCTGCTTGGAGAAATAGATGTTCTCTGAAAATGTGTGAGGTATGGATAAAGAAGTATCACATTTCTGCCAGTTCTTTCAAACCATTAATTAGGAATCCAATTTTTATCGTTTTTCAGCCAAAATATTATCCTTGAAACCCATACTGTAACTAGTGTTATTGTAAACATTTAGCATAGAGGAGAGAAAAAAAACTAATGATCCCACCCTCCTGGAGCATAAGGTCTAGTGGAAGAGGCACAGAAGAAACAAGTAAACAAATTGTTTTTTATTGTGCTGGTGTATAGTATGACACATTCTGATGTTCTTTTATAATATGGAAATACCGGGATAGTAGTGTCTATTCCATAAAATTCTCTTGTCTCTTTTTCACATTTATTCTTAAACTAAGTTGCAAACATCAATTTAAAGTGCTTGTCCATTGGTTTTCTCGTAATCATTGTGATTTAAACACATTCTAAAACAAAATGGGATGATTTGCTTTTGCTTCTTTTTGGTTGGTCACACATGCATTCAGTGATACTTTGTTTAAAGCAGAATTTCTCAGTGCCTTTCTGATGGCCATGGAATTACTTTGTTCTCAGGTCTTTCAGAAAATAATTGGATGCCTAACAAGAAAATGCATCGTAGTGTGCCAGGATGCCGTATGGCTCTGCTGAACTTCACAAACTATGAAAATGCTTGTCTGATGTGCCAATAAATCTCCCTCTTTACCTAGGTCCAAGGATCTCATAAAGGAAGCTATCCTTGACAATGACTTTATGAAGAACCTGGAGCTCTCGCAGATCCAAGAGATTGTGGATTGCATGTACCCAGTGGAGTACGGCAAAGACAGTTGCATCATCAAAGAAGGAGATGTGGGGTCACTGGTGTATGTCATGGAAGGTATGGTTTGTAACTCTAATCCTCTGACATTCAAATATTCCCTTTTCATCTTATCAGCCTGCACACAGATGGTAGTGTATTACATGGGACAGTTCCATTCTTCCCTCTTTTGTTGTCGAGAAACAGTTTGAAGAGAGGTGGAACACGACTTAGATACAGTGTTTGACTAGTTGTATGAAGGGTTTGTGTTTAGAGTATTAAGCTGAAAATCTAGTATTCTTTTAGACATGGAGAAAGGATGATAGGGTGAGAGGAAGAAATGCTGTTTATTACACTGTGTAAGTCTGCACGCCACTGGGTCATTGAGCAAGCTATGGAGCTTCCAGAGGAGTTCGAGACTATTGGAAAGTATTTTTGGCCAGATAAGCAAAGTGTCAACTCTACCTCTAATTTTCAGTGTATGGTTAGGTTTCTTGCTGTCATGCTTCTATAAAAAGAATGTTTTCAGTGCTTTGTACATGTGTGAATAAGGAAATCAGACTGGTTGGATGGCCTGTGAGCTACCTAATTAGTAAGAGTGATGGATTGTTTCATCAATCTTGTGCCAATTAAGATAAAAACTATTTTGGAAAAAAAAAAAAAACTGAGGCAGGCACCATACAAAAATATTTTATGCCCAGGTAAATTTTCATATTGTGTATTTCTAACTTGGATTTATAATGCTGCCTTTTCCTTCTAGGAGAAAACAAAAGCCTGAATTAATGACTAGATCAGTTGAGGAGAAAGAAAGTTCAGAAGTGCCTAGAAGATCAGAGAGTTGCCATGCAAACAACATGATCAGTTTCTAGGTGGTGATTAGTGTCTTAACCCAAGGATTCATGGCGGTGTCCTAGAATTGTCAAGTTGATAGGTCATTAAGAGAGGGGGTGTTATTTGGGCAAGTGACTTAACTTCTTTGAATTTTACCTAATTTGTAAACAAAGGGTCCTACTGACTGCCACTCCTTTCTGGCAGTGGTTCTCAACTGGTGATGATTGGTCCAGCCATAGGACATTTGACAATACCAGGAAATGTTTTTGATTATCATAGTGGGAGTGCGGATAGATGGGGGAGCTACTGGCATCTCATGGTTAAAAACCAGGAATGCTGCTCTGCTGCGCTGTTGCCCACAACAGAGAATTAGCTGGCCCCACCTGTCCTTAGTGCTGATGTTGAAAAATCCTGCTTTCTACTGTCTTTACAAGATTGTTCTGATTAATACGAAATAATTAATGTTTATTGTATAGTATAAACCATTATAAAATAATAGTATATATTACTATTTCCAACCAATACTTGACAGTATGTCAGAAATGTGCTGCCTGCCTATGTCTTCACCTTTTAATTTTTCTTCATAATCTTTTTTGACATATATTAGGCATTCAACTTTGAAGTCATAATTTCAATCATTTTTTTTTTCCCTATGTAAATTTTCAGCTTTTGGGTCAATGTTATGAAGTTTTCCCCCAGGCCAAAAGAAAATAAATGTTCAGCTAGTCTTTCTTCCGAATAAAAGCAAGACACAATAAACAAAAACACGAACAGTATTCAGTTGGCAGACAATTGCAGGGGAAGGAGATGAAATTATAGGGCAAGAGTGTATGTGGGCAGTAAGCAGAAAAGATGAGAAAAAAGCAAGAAGTGTACAGAGGGGAAGTATAGACTATAAATATAGAGAGAGATGTTAAGAAGTGCTAACAATTAAAAAACCGAGGTTAAGGCATTTCTTAGATTATAGTTTATCAGTGGTTTTGTAGTTGATTTTTCAGATAATTTATTGTCAGGCACATTTGGAAGAACTACCCTGTTGCATAAAGGAGGTATACCTTACTTCCGCTATTTGCAGATGCTAATTATTGATAATCCATTCAAGACGTGCTTATTTTTAGAACCTGTATGTTGTTTTCCTTTATCTTGAATATCTCTTACAAATATAGATTTCCACACAACCTTGCAAATTTTTTTCTAAAAAAAAATTATCTGCATCCATACTGTTCTGGTTTCTAAGACTAACTGCTAGTTCACTAGCTATGTTAACAGAAGCTTAGAAATCATAATGTGTATTTACAGAGTGCTTAGAAAATGGTCCAACATATTGAGCATTCTTTGTATAAACACTTCCTGTGTATATAATTCATTTAATGTTCAAAACAATCCTATGAGGTAAGTGGTAATATTTATTATTCTTTATGGATGAGGAAACAGAGGCCCAGTGAGGTTTAGTAATTTGCCTGTGTCTTCCAAATAGTTTATAGTAGAATTAGGACTGAACCTAAGTCATCTGGATTCAGGGCTCCAGCTTTTAACTCAGGGGCCATGTGTTAGGATTCTCTGGAGAAACAGAGCTGATAGATCGATATTGATGGATAGATTATTTATTTTAAGGAATTAGCTCATGTGATTGTGAACACTGGCAAATCCAAAATCTGCATGGTAAAAGAAGTAGGCTAGACATCTAGGGAAGAGTTGATGCTATAGTCCAGATTTGAAGCATGACTGCTGGCAGAATTCTTTCTTCTGGGGAGTTCTGTCATTTTTCTGTTTGGGCCTTCACCTGATTGGATGAGGCCCACCAACATTATGAGGGTAATCTGCGGCTCACAGTCTACTGATCTGCATGTTAATTTCATCTAAAGCATTCCTTCACAGAAGTATCTAAGATAATGTTTGACCAGTAATATCTGGATATCACAGCCTAGCAAGTTGACCCATAAAATTAACCATCCCAAGTCCTCGGCACCTGTGTGCATCTCCTCAAACCATGCTTCATCTCCAAATTAAGACAGCAGCAAGGTTGTAGCTCCACCTGATAAAATGTGACAATTCTGGGTACAATTGAAAATCCACTAACACTTTTCTCACAAAAGGGTACAAAGTCCTTGGGTAATACTTACTCTTCTCCTTAATACCCCATAATTTAAACTCTATGTTGTAAAGCTAATACTTAAATACTGTGATGTAAAGTCAATATATCTTATGTTACATGATAAGAGGATATGAGAGAAGAGAACCAAGAATTTGGTGCACATACATACATACAAACATATATATATATAGCAAAATAAAGAAGGCATACCCATGACAAGCTTCCCGAGGTAAAGGTAAATACACTAATTTTTTCTCCATTGCTTCAAGCTAATTTTGAAAATTTTATTTATCTTCCTTTTCCTGCTGGACTGACTAAACAGCAAGTCCTCTTAATTATCTTTTTAAAAACAGGGTTTTAAATAGTGTATCAGTATTCAGAGTCACAGATTTTGCAGTGATGCTGTTGATTGCCTTCAGTTAAACTCATAAAATGACTATAATCTTATAAACTGATGCCGCTCTGTCCCCAAGCTATAATCCTAACCAGTTCAGGGTAACTTTGGCTGATCTTCTGTTAATATCCTTGTGTCAGAATGATTTCAAGGTAAAAAAAAAAAATCATTTAAATTTTTATAAGTTTTAATTGAAGAAATGTTTCATTGTTTAATTAGCTTTTTATCAACATATTTATTCTTCTCAAAATTTAGATAGCAGCGTTCTTGATAGAGATGGATTCTTTTTCATCTGTGAACATTAATATTTATAAAGAGCATTCCATAGCAACAATGGATGAGTAAGCTAGGGACGACCAGATCATTCACAAACTTGCTTATTACCCAGACATTCAGAAAAACACCCAGGGAGTTTACGTGGAAACTCAGTCTGATTTTCTCTGTCTCTCTAACTTAAATGAAGTTTCTTCATATAATGCTGTTTAACGTGTGCCTTAGCTGGGCGGTGTCCCAAGTAGGATTGCACACCTACATGCCAGAATTTCTCATCGTTCTAGCAAAAGAGAATAGTCACAGGGTCAGGATGTCACTAATTAGGATGACTGGGGAAAAATCATCTGGGGGTCGTATAAATATATTTTGCATATTATATATCCAATATATTTTCAAACAAAATGAGTTGTGGGACTTTCAGATACTTAAAATTGCTGGCTGGGAGAAGTTTCAATGTTAAGTTTGAGTCAGAATCTTTTGGTATTAGTATTTTAAGTCAGTACCCTAGGTAAGCTAAGTTGCTAAGGCTCTGTTTGCATTTTTATTATGTTTTCAAATACACCAATGATTCTTAAAAATTACTTGAACACAGGTTATTTTCTTAAACAGACATTGGCCTTGATTATGATGTAAAATCTGTGATTCTTCTTCTACTCTTGCCCTCCCTTTTGTTATCATAGAGATACATTTTAGTCTATTGTGTTCCCAAATAAAACATATTCTGATTTTGTGCCTTTCATTGGTGATGTAAATAAACATCTTGTATGTGAACCTAATCAAATATTTTCATTTTTGGAAAATGTTGAATTTGTATCCATCCAAGTGGTTGATTTGCACATTTCTTGTGATGTTTCATTGTGGAAGCCCATGGATTACATTTTATTTAAATTTACATTAAAAAAAAATGGCAAGTCGTCTATTTAGTGTTCTATGAGCATTGGCTATTTTAAGTTAAACTTTTTAATGAAATCATCAATTTTTTTATGAGGTGCTTGAAAATGATAATAGCTTTTATGAAGTCCTTGTAAATGCCAGGGACTGTTTAATCCTTTTATAGGTGTTAGCTTTTAATCTCCGTAGCAACCTTAAGGAGTAGGTATTCTATTACCCGCATGTTAGTAGCTGCAGAACCTGATGCAAAGACAAGGTGAACAACCTGGCCAGGATCATCCTACCATATATAATATATATAGTGTATATATATTGTATGTATATATATTATATTTACATATATATTTATTATATATATTTATATATATTATATATATAAATATATATACACACATATTTATACATATATATGATGATGGGGCATTGTCAACTTTCAAAGTGCAGATTAGAAGCCCTGGTGATATATATTTATCATATAGGAGCCCATTAAAGATGCACAGCATGAAGCCATTGGATTAAAAAAAATTGCTTGATTATTTTTGAGGAAACTATAGAATGTGCGTGGCAGTAGTGCAAAGAGAGAATAATGTAGATGTT